GCCTGATCACCCCTACTTCCTCTGCCTGCCGGCCTGATCATCGCTTACCTGCCCTCCCGCAGGCTGGTTGCCCCTAACTGCTCCCTCTGCCAGCCTGGTCGCCCCCCAACTGCCCCTCTTGCCGGCCCTGGTCGCCCCTTACTGCACCCCCTGCCGGCCTGGTCTCCCCCCAACTGTCCCCCTCTGCTGGCCTGGTCGCCCCCAACTGCTCCCCGTCGGCCTGGTCACCACCAACTGCCCCCCTCTGCCAACCTGGTCACCACCAACTGCCCCCCTCTGCCCCCCGCCCCCGCCGGCCTGGTTGCCTCTTTCTGCCCCCCTGCCGGCCTGGTCATCCCCAACTGCCCCCTCTGCTGGCCTGGTCGCCAACTGTCCCCCTGCTGGCCTGGTCGCCCCCAACTGTCTCCCGGCCGGCCTGGTCACCCCACACAGCCTGCTGTTCAGTCATCTGGTCGTCCCTCACTAACCCTCCTGCCAGCCTGGTTGCCCCATGCAGCCTGCTGTTCAGTCGTTTGGTTGTCCCTCACTAACCCCCCCTGCCAGCCTAGTCGCCCCACGCAGCCTACTGTTCGGTCGTCCATCCAGTTGTTTCGGTCATGACGGCCCCTTGCTTTTTATATATTAGGATTGGAATTTGCTTGTGATACTGTTAGGCATTCAAAATGATTTATCTTGAATTCCAATTTGTTGTTTCTTATAAAGACTAAAAAAATGAACATGTAAATGTACTCAGTGGCTGGTTTCCCTATAGAGTTTATGCAATTTATTTTCCCTTCTTATTGCTCCCTATTGTCTAGAACAAACATGTGTCAGTTTTACAATCCAAAAAGACAAATAGTTTTTAATGCTTCAAATACAATCAACTATATTTTTCAATTGGACAGCTTCCATTGGTGAAATGTCTTGAATGACTTAGGAATGCTCACCATATCTCAATTGAAAAGCAGATGAGTGAACATGCAGAATATCATAGAAAAACATCTAGTAAGGAACACACCAAAACTTTAACAATGGTAATCACTGAGTGGATTTTCTCCTCTCTTTTACACTATTCTGTATTTGCCAAACTTTTTACAACTAACATATTTAACACTATTTTGAAACATGACAATAAATCTCATTTTAAAAATCTCGCAAACAAAAACAACTAATAATGTTTTACCTATGACTGTTAAGAAATCCAGGTGAAACCCTATTAAGAAAACTCTAATTCTAGAAGACAGGTTCAAAAGGACCTCTCTGCCTTTGCCAAATACATTCATTAACTCTTAGTTCTTGGAACAATTCTATGAAATAGAATTCCCTATTTTATAAATAAGGAGAACAAGGATTATCCCTCTAGGGAGGGAGTAGGGAAGCAAACCCAGGACTCTGATTCTGAAGTCTTGTGCTCTTAAATCCTACATGGCATTTTGGCCATAGCGCAAAACATCGATTCAATGTAACTTTCAAACCAAGGTCAAGTGGCAAGTTCTGCTGAAATAAAGGCAGAAGGGAAAGTATATACACAAGTGAACATAGCTGTAACTTTCGCCCATTTATTATTTAGTTGAATGATCAGTGTAATTTCCACAAACAAATGATAAATAAATTTTGTTTTCTAGCTATTTCATAAGGGAATTATCTTCAAGTTAGTAAAGATGTACTGAATATCTACTATGTATTAATGAACCCATATTAATGAAATATGTGTTCTTATCAAGTGGCTTAAAGAATGATATAAAATATAAGGCAAAATAGCTATTAAAAACGTGCAATTCATCATGGCACTGGTTCTTAAACTTTAGCACCCTTCAGAATCTTGTAAAAACTGTTTGCTGGGCCCCATGCCCAGTTTTTGACTCAATAGGTCAACAATAGGGCCCAAGAATTTACAATCCTAACAAGCTTCCAGGTGATAATGAAAGGATACTGCAGTTGTCAAGGGACCACACTTTGAGAACTATTATGCATGGAAACACAGAGAAGGGAGCCAATCCCACGGATATTAGGAAAGATCTTACAGCTGATTTGGCATGTTTACTACAAACCAATGAGCTAAAACAAATGGAAAGAGTGTTTTATGCTAAGGGAGTAAATGGAACAACAACAAAAAACAAGGTATGAATGTATGCAGGTGTCCACGATGGTGAAATATTATGTGTGGGAGAAAGGGGGAGGTACCACAGAGGAGGTGCAGAGTGAACATAAACCTGAGAGATATTTATGTTGGAATTACATCAGAGGGAAATTTAAATGCTATACTAAGGACTTGAAATTTACTATGCCGAGCAGTGGTACTCCTAGCATCAGTGTGACAAAGGGATTGTTTGAGGGACACTATCAACTAAAAAATCTTATGCTTCTACTTAACTCCTTCGTCCGTGTCTGCTTTCAAGGTAGTCAAGCTGAATCCCAAATAGTGCGAAAGAAAAAAAATGGTGCTTCAGTGGAAAAATATGAATTATTTAAAGGGTACCCCTCCTTCCAGTGTCTGATTTAGATTCTATGGAAGATACGTTACACCTCTGTAAGGTATAGATAACTGGTAGCACTGCAAAATAATTCTTTCTACAGACATGTGTATTCTGTTCCGTCTGGTGGAGGTTCAAATGTCTTCCCTCCTCTCCCTTGAAAAAGCCAGTTGGCACATTCATTTAATTATTCTTGATCTATAATACTAGAGGCCCGGGGCACAAAAATTTGTGCCCTCGGGGGGGGGGGGGGCAGTCCCCCAGCCCGGCCTGTGCCCTCTCGCAGTTTGGGACCCCTCGGGAGATAACGACCTGCTGGCTTAGGCCTGCTCCCGGGTGGCAGAGGGCAGGCCCAATCCCTAGGTGCAGCCCCTGGTCAGGCTCAAAACAGGGCCGATTGGGGAGTTGGGGCGCCGCCCCGTCATGCACAGAGCAGGGCGGATCAGGGGGTTGGGATGCCACCCTCAGTCACGCTCAGGGTAGGGCCGATTGGGGGGTTGGGGCATTGCCCCCTGTCACACTCAAGGCAGGGTCGATGGGGAGGTTGCGGGGCCACCCCGTCACGCCCAGAGCAGGGCCAATTAAGGCGTTGGGAAGCTGCCCCCTGGTATTCACAAAACAAGGCCCATCAGGGGGGTTGGGGCTTCTGTACCCTGTCACACAAAAGAGCAAGGGTCGATCAGGGGGTTTGGGGGAGCTCCCCCCGTCCACGCAAAAAAGCAGGGGCCCATCAGGGGGGTTGAGGGAGCTCCCCCCCTTGTCAACTCACAAGAAAAAGGGCCGAAAAGGGAAATTGGGGGGGGTGCCCCCCCCGTCCCACCTCAGGGCCCATGGGGGAGGGTTATGGGGTTTTCCCCTTTTCCCCCCCAGAACAAAGGCCCCCGAAGCGGGGTGTGTGCGCCCACCCTCTTTATTACCCACAAAAGAAGGGGCCGATATCAGGGGGTTGGGGGGGCCGCCACAT